TTTTATGGTTTAGCATGGTTACCCACTAAAACTGTGCATCATCGTAGATGTTCTTTTATAAAATAAGCTCGGGGCAAAGCGTTTAGAAGTTCAAACATGCTGGTTAGTTTACTTCGTTAACAAATTGTCAAAAAATGGTATATTTTTTAAAACATAATACTTCTTACAAGAATTCTAAATGATTCAGTGTGTTGTAATTTCACTAATTTTTTTACTGTTTATGGAACCATTGTGCAACTGAAACTTAAACTGAGCCAACCGCTTTACATAGATAAAGTTATGATAAATGTACTTTGACCACAGAAATGTCTTTCGTATATAGATTTCGAGTTTAACCATCGACATCCCTCTATTATTTTCCTTTACAATAGGGATTCGTAACTAACTAAAGCCATAAATAATTGTCTAAACTAACAAAATTAGCTGGGCTTTCCTCTATCTGAAATAACATAGTTTAGTTTATTAACATATTTATATTACCACTGGGCGTTTACCATGATTTTCTTAAATTATTCCATATCGGAAGTTACGTTTTCACTAGTTTTGTCATGAAGCAATGGGAATATTTGGGATTTATTTATTTAAACATTCCTTACCATAAACCATCACACCATATACTATCCCACTGAGCAATCTTTATGATTTTATATTTTTATCCGTCAGATATATCTTATTTTTAATATAATCTCTTCAATTAAGATGATATATCATCAATTTTTTTAACAAGCTTTTCGCAATGTGCTTTTTAACATATACAAACATTACATATTGTATGTAGAGAGAAATTAAATGAAATGTTTATGTTTAATATGAAACACGAGTTTTCGGTCCAAACAACCTTAGGTTCGGGGCATTTAGTTCACAAACATATAATGATCCTATCATAATAATATTGTTTCTACTTCATTTAAAATAATCACCATCTCATAGAAAATATGAAGAAATGTAATTTATGTGATACACTATAAAATTGTTTGACACATGATTTGTAAAGACACTGTTTAACAATTAATCGTTTTACTTATATTTTAACTTAATTATTACGTCAATAACGATTCTACAACCGACTAAAATCCTATAATCTCAAATACTGTTTGAAAACTGCAAAACTAAAGTTGGACGGACTTTTTTTTGTAGTTAAGACAGATAAAAAGTGTGATAACATACATTCCAATGATATTAATATATTATGAATACTCGTCGAAAGTTTCGGTTTCAACAGGTTAAATATTAACTATAAATGTTGTTCCTTACAACATTGGTCTTCTCAAAACCGTAAAAACCGGTATAAAAGCCAAAGCTAAGCACACAGCTTTCCGCTGTTAAGCCTTTTGAAGGTGAAATTTGGGCGCGTTGGATTTAATGTTGTGTAAAGTTATGCCCCTAAAGCGAGATTTAGAAACATATTTTAAAAATAACTACCAGCAGTAACATTACGTGTTTTTTTTAGCTTAAAGTAGTTACTCACTGTTAACTTTTACTCAGAAATTTAGTACAAAAAATGCCCAAGTGTTGGTGCGATTTTCTATCGTATATTAAGGTGATATTTATTAGTAAGCGATGTTTTATAAGACGTTTTGGTGTAAAAAAGTGGTGTGGACTCGGACTAAAATATTACTGCATTTCGTTTATTTTGCTTTATATGGCCTTTCTTCAGTGATTCTTTGTTACCCTACAAAAACTGCCCTTTGAGGCCCACAATGGACGTACATTTTTCAATATTTTCCTCCAGTAATATTTGTTTATATTTTATTAAAGAATAATGTAGCCGTTTGAAGGGCTTTAATTTATCAACTTCACAAATTATAGAATTTGCATTAGTTGAATCACAGTCCTCGAACAAAGGGATAAAATAATAACATCGTTTTCTGCTCTAAAATAATAGTGCAATGTGTTCTCCGTCATTTTACAGTGATATTAACCATGATCATCAATTATTTTAAAAGCCCTACAAGCCGTTTTGCATTTTTATAATTCGGTTGTCGTTCTGAAGTATTTATTTTTTGGTTAAGTTCGATAGCAAACTAAAGATATAATTTCAAATAATAACTGAATGCTTTTTACACTGTAAGCAGTGTCATTATGCGATATTGATAAAATTAATATTTAGAATATTTCAATTTTCTTGTATTTTCCCTCCTCTTCCTACAACAAATCTTTTACTGTAAAAGATTTATGAAGTTAAATCTGATAAGCAGTGTGAGTCGTCTTCGCAATAACTGTGCTTTTAGGCATCTGTTACGCAACAAATTGCATTTATTCAGTTTTTTCTCTTTTCATATTTTCATCTTAATTAATCAGTAAATTTCCAAACAAATTGAGGTACCAAAAAAGAATGGAAAAGAGAATTGCTTTAAAAATGACATCATCTACTCGTATACAAATGGGCCTAGTCCGCAAGAAGGTACGGGGTAGGACCTCTCAGGCCCAAGTCGGTGCAATTGAGAGATGTACCCAGTTCAATCTGAACAAAAGGTATAAAAAAATATATAACCATCATGTCAGCCAAGCAACCATCAAAACTCTAAGACCAAACATCATTAACTCAAAGTTGGTTCTGAATTGCAAAACTAAACTAAACAGATTAGGTATGCAAAACGAATTCACCCTCTGCTGGGTCCCAGGACATGTGGGAGTAAAAGGCTACGATGGCATATTGCAAGAAAAGGGTTATAGCCAAAAAAAAGGTGATTTTGCTAAAAGGGCAAGCTGCTATACCGTTAGTTGTTAGGACCTGAGCCCTTCTGTGGCATAGGAATGTATCAATGAGAACCTTAGAAGGATAAAAAGAAAATGAGGGAACAATGGAACTCACTCATCGGACCCAAACAACCCAAGAACCTTCTCGACAATTTTAGAAGGAAAGAGGTAACAGAACGCATTAAAGGGAGCAAGAAAAAACAGCGAATATCAACAGGATTTTTAACAAAACACTGTAAACTAAATGGGCATCTGGACAAGAATGGCATAACCCAACACGGCAAGTGCAAGTTCTACACACCCCCTACAAGAGAGACCCCATTACAATTTAAATGCAAAAGAGATTCAACCGCTGAAACCGGGCCTTGATGAACTAGGTGTGCTATAAGCACAGAACGGCAGATACAATAGCTTTTACAGGGCGCAGAAAAATATACACCCCCACTAATATATTTACATCTAATAAATCACTATCTCACCCATCCAACGATTTGAATGCTGTTGTTGAATATTGTGAAATCCACAAATTTTCACCGACATACTGCACAATTAGGAAGGCACATGAAAACAGTTCTAAATGCGATTATTAAACAATTATGTGTATAGAAATGAAGCACATGCAATTTAAAAAAGAAGAAACAATGAAAATATACTTGATAGAAATTGAAAATAACTGAGGTCTATAAACGCATGCCAGTCTGAAAATAGCAAATCCTAACAAGCAAATTATTGGGTTTTCCTCTCAAATTACGTCACTTGACGGTGGACGTTCCGAAAGGGAAAAACACAATTCAATAAAAAAAATAAGGAAAAAAGAATTTTTTTTAATAGGCGGCTTTATCTGGCCCATTCCCAACGCATATGCAATTGCAATTGCTTCATCGACACCGATAAGGCGGTGGTGGGGAGGTGCATGCTGATAAGGACGGCATCAAGTTTCAACGGTGGGGAAAATGCACTCGGAAAAGCCGGCCAAAATTTTTCCCCTCCCCACTCACATTTCGCTCGTTGATAAAAAATATTAAAAAATAAATAAAATAGATTTTTTTTTCCAAACGTACGCCACCTGTTTCCACGTCGCCGGCGAACCGTTTAAAAGAATCTCTCTGACCCGTCGAGGCCGAGCCCATTACTATCTCATGTTTAAAATATCAACTTTTTTTATTATTAAATCCACGAGGAAATTTTTGTGCATCGTGGAACACATTTTTAAATGCATTTAGAATTGTTTCTCGATCTTCTGAACGCCGGTTAGTCTACGAATTAGTGCAGTACGTCTTTTTTGTCCGCTATCCCGGAAATTGGTCAAATAATACATTATTTTAATTGGATCAACTGAGAAAGGTCAAGAAGAAAATTTAAAAGGTTGCAGATTTAACGATAATGGGAAAAAAGTGGCGCCCGTTGAAAGATTTTCAGCACTAAATGAACAAAAAACCATGCATATTGTCACACGAAATTATATAATAGCAACAACAACAAACAGGCATGATAGAAAAAGGGGTTTTCTCCGAAACTACAAAATCTAAGCTTTATAAACAAAATTTGAAATTTTTTTCGTTAATAAAAAACGTGTGACAGAAAAAAGGCAGGCACAAACGAAAATAATGAGTTGAATATATAATTGAATTGTCATATTTTGTTTGAAAATCGTTGGTCTACTCACTGTACATTTTCTTGACTTCTCATGGAGATGTGTACCCGAGTCCAGTCATATATTATCTACTCATCTTTTATTTGTGCCAACCCTCAATCTGTAATAAGATTTCAGTTGTAAAAAAAATAATGTGCTATGATTAATATCGCATTACAAGAAAGGGATTGGGAATGAATAAGTAGGGACATTGCGGAAGTGTTTCTGATGGGGGAAAAGTACGCGAGAGAGGGATGGGGAAATTTTTCCAGCCCGGAAAATCCGCGGTGGAAACTGCAATGTCAGAAATGATAGTCGGCCGGCCGGCACCACGTTGTACTCTGCCGGCGGATCGGGACGGCCGCGCTACCCTTACGCATATTCGGATGGGGACGAGATTTCGCAAATATTGCACCGAGGAAACGCGGAAAATCTATTCGGCCCGGGAGTCGGTGCGAGAGGAGAAAGAAGTGTAATTTTGCGGTATTGCAAAACTAGGTCGGGAAGTAGGGGGAGACGCGAATTGAGAAACTGGCCCGTTGCAATTCGGCTTGCACTTGACCTTGCCTACCGCAAATAAACCGCACTTTCCCGAGGGGCTTTCCGACTATTTTTTTCCAACATTAATTTCAAACCGTTAAAATCGAATTTATAGTATTCGAGTTACCTTGTTACGTGAGAAGTGATGCGGGCTCCCACATGAAGGCTCGGACTGTTCCTCTTGGTCGAAATAAAAAAATGATCGAAGGAAAAATCAATCCCGGTATCCGCTAGAAATGAAACACTTGGAAGTTCACTCGGGGATAATTGGAAACCAAAAGAAACGAAAATTAAAAAAAAAAAAAAGATCGTGTCAGGGGAGTTATGAGGTGACGGGAGGTGGTTGGAGTCTCAAGGAGCTGCTTCCCATAGCGTTGGTCGTGCGTAACTGGGTTTGACTCTGCGAACCGATTTTCGTGGGGGGGCTCCCTACCAACTTCCCTCCCCAAAAAGCAAAAGTTGGACGGCATTCCGACCGGCTGCGCTACATTCGCCCGCTTTTGGTGGGGACTCCCGTCACCGGACACCGAGTTCACAGACGCGCTACCTCAATAACCCAGACGTTGCGGCATCTCTTCAACGACCGTGGAGGCCGCAACCGTTCCAACGGCGAGTCCTTTTATCTTCGCCCTAGTAAATACGGCGGTTCGTCCTCTCTCCGTTGCGAACAATTTTTCCACCACATCACCCCATTTTTCACAACTTTCCATTTCGCGGCATTACATATCCTGATATCAGTGATGCTCGGTTTAAGAAATTAACGTTATGAGTAGGATTATTTCTCCCGGTCCATTAACGTTATTGGTCACTAAGAGAGAAACTTTAGGACAATTTTCAATCCGGCTATAAAGCTAAGACCAAGGCAATAAAAACATCCATAAAACAAAATGGTGTAAATAGCCCAAGAAGGTTGTTTGCAAGATTATCACCTAGTACTTACTCAGTTGATAATCAGACTGAACAACCATCAAAACGGTTACCTTATATGTACCATAACTACAAGGCCATAATATGGTTGCAAACAAAACAATTCTTGTGTGTTACCAAATTTAATCTACTTGTCAACTCAATATGGAAGAAAAATATTCCACGCTATCACCACTGGATAATTATTTAACCTAAAGCCCATGCACATGGATCAGACTACAAGTATCTTTTATATATGACATTGCACATAATGACAAAACTATAAGCTGTTCGAAAAAAAGAAGAAATTAACACTAATGTGACTATGCTTATTCCTTTTGAAACCAGCATGCGCTTTTACCCAAGAGAGTTTGATCGACGATCCGTTGTCTATTGTCAACTCCCTTAACTTTCGCCTTATTTCTTATCCTAACCAATTGTTGGTGTTATAGTTTTTAATTGTCATGATAGAAACTTATCTGCCCTTATTAGCAATGATTTACTTTTACACCAGTCTGCCAGTTTAACATGAATTTTGTGACTGGGTTCAAATTTTCATTTTCATAGGAAAGTGTTGCACAACCTACGTTCCCATTAATTCTGCATCCATCGGTGTATGGAGCAGCGCAATGGTCGCAGTCCGTCGAATCTTCCATCGTCAACGATGTTTACAATAAATCCCAGATGGAACCTTTCTCTTAAAGGTAATGGTTTTTAAGTTCTGAACTCTGGTCCAAATAAAATTTCGCTACTATTAGTCACCATGAAAATGTCTATTAACTCTTGTATTTTGATGTCAATTAGAGGAACACCTGCCAATATAAATGACGCTTGAAAAGATATTGTTATATAATCCTTTATTATTGTAATGAGTATTCTGCGTTTTCGTACATTGCATTTTTTCTTGAGGCTGTGTTCCAAATTGGTGAGGCATAGGTTAATAAATGCTGGTTTGTTCCTATATAAATAATTCTAAGACCGCGCAGCCTATGCCTCTATAAACTTTACTACCTGTAGTGCCTTTTCACAAAGTACTTAACTGAGGCTTCCATGAAAACGTCCTATCAAAATAGATTCCCAATCATTTATATTTGGTATTTCTTGTCCTTGATACACCTTAACATGTCTTCCTGTCTTCCTTCTGTTTGTAATATTTAGTGCTTGGAACTTTTCAATATTAAATTCGATTTTGTTTTCAGCTATACTGACGGTCATCTCAAGCTGTGATTCTGATTTCGGTGATACTGGGGTTATGAAGTCATCCGCCAATGAAAATAACTCAGGATTTGAGGTAAACGAGTAAAAAGAATTAACCAATAAACCAGACTGCAGCATGATGCTTTTTCTGCAGAAAGTCGTACTTCCATGGTCGATGTATTAAGATTGACCTTCGTCTCAGAACAATAGATATTAGACTATTTGTACAGGTTAGGTAGCCATTTATTATTATTAGCTGTTTAAGAATTGTTGGCCAATGGTGCGTGAGTTCTCCTACCAATATTCATTCGAACTTAGTACCGGCGATATAGAATAGAGTTGAATTTTATTTTAATTGAAATTTACATAATATTTTTTACGAAGCAATATAAATCATTTATATTTTTAGATATTTGTGTTTTTTATTTCAATAACAGCTCTCCCAAGTAAAAACTTGTGTAGAGAGATGACCTAAGGCCTCGTGTTCGCTAAGTTGCACAATTTTCTTACCTTTATTTTTTTATCAAATTAGTTATATGAATGGATCCTAGCATTGAATCAATAACTGGGCCAAAGTATTGAAATTATTTACCAATATCAGTGAGTTACAGTTTTTATAATCTATTTGATCACAGGTGGGGGAATGAAAGTAAGTGAATTAGTATTGGAGTGCGCTGCTTATTTACATTATTAAATTAACTTCATTAATTCATCATGAAAATTTTTTCTTCGCTGCATCAACAAACTATTACTTTTAACTAGGTAAAATATTAACCTATGCTCTCAGCCAGTACCATAAAGTAACAATTTACTAGAGTGTGATATTGCTTTTAACCACAACAAGTCAGAATACGAAGTTATTTCTTTATATTCCAATTCCGATAAAATCGTCCAAACAGTTTATCAACCAGTATGTAATCGATGGATAACTCAAAGGTATTCAATCATTGAGAGCCATAAAACAATCTCGCTCGAAATATGTTAAATCCATTGATTTAATCGATGGATAACCCAGTAGTTATCAAACTTTCTTGACCTACTCATTGAACCAATTCGATCGTGCAGTAGAATAATCCAACAACGCCAAAAAGCGCAGTCTGAATTAAAAAAAAAATAAACAACAGAAAGCCATATATTTAAAGGGCCATTATTGACAACCTGATAGAACCAGATTACCACAATTTTCAATCTGATTATCTCTAAAGCATATATACTTTATACATCAAGCTATACGAAGTAAAAGACGCGACAAGAATTTGTGTACGTCAAATTTTCGTATAGACTTAATGATTTTGTGAATTTACTCAATGTCGGTAAGAAGTTTGCTTGATTTGCTTCAGCACAACAGATACGAAATTCTACGAGATTATCGATTGAAGACTAGGCTGATTATCATTGAAATCGCCTTGTGGAAGAGTTTTGCCTTATTTCCCATTTTTTTATTTTAGAAAAATTATATTTTTTCGCCTAACCAATAATCGTAAAACTGAACAAACGTTTGTGCAAATATTTTATAATTTTATGCTGCTGGATATAATGATATGTTTTATGCAAACTTTTGTACAAAAAAACAAAAAAGAAAAAACTGTTCGCACCTTAACGGCATAACTTCTAACGATTTGTCTAATATTCGCTAATTATTTTTTAATAAATTGAATATTTAACGGTCATTTTATGCCCAGAAAGATCAAATTTACGTTATGCATTTTAACCATAAAATTGTAGAAATAGCCGACGAATTAAGACATAATTAAGTTCAATATTCAAATACTTTTATGCATACATATATCAAATATTTTTCTTACATATTAGATCCTGAATCCAGCATCTTGTCACAAAAGTGGATACATCTTAAAATGGATTCTTAATGAGTCCAAAATCTGGTTGAACAATACCACCGGCATGGGGCACGCGTAGAGATTTTTATAGAAGGGCCATCCGCAAAACATACAAAGGAATTACTGGAAGGCAACCGCAACCGAACCAGGGATTCTGGTTCAACTCCTGACAGAGCACTGCAACAAGAAAGCACACGACCGGATAGGAGAACAGACAGAAGAAACTCTGTGCCAGGAAGAGAAGGAAACCGCAGAACACATTCTATCTTTTTATGAAGGCCTATCTATGTAGGTGCATGCAACAATGACAGGAAAATCACAAGCAAGATCCTACACTAAGGAGCCGCTGGCTTTGGCTATGGAGGTTGATTAACAATCAGAAGGGGGCCAGTGAGTTATAAAAAACAGTAGAGCCTAATATATATACTCAGATCGAGGTACCGAACGCCTATTTTATCCCTATTCATATACATATTAGATTGTCCAAACAGAGTAAGTTTTAATTGCGGATAATTCTTTAATTTATACCATAGATTTTATGTCAGCATGTATAACAATATAAAAAAGGTCTTGGTTGAGATAAAAAATCATTGTCACGAGCGGGATTCGAACCCACGACCTTCGACTAAATACGCCGCTGCTCTACCACTTGAGCTATCGTGACTTCGATCCTCTCGGACACCAACTCTCCATCTCAACCTACAAACTTCGAATTTTCCCCCTTTTTGCCATTTTGGTGTCCGAGAGGATAAAAGTCATGATAGCTCAAGTGGTAGAGCAGCGGCGTACTTAACCGAAGTTAGTGGGTTTGAATCCCGCTCGTGTCACTGACTTTTTTATCTTAACCAAGGCCTTACATAAAAAGAAGAATTAAGTGAAAGATGTAACTTGGTCAATTGACTAAACTATGATCAAATTTTGTTTTATGCCATTTAGACTCGTCGTTATTCCCGCTATTTCATTTCGAGTTTCACCGTAAAGTAATTAAAGCTTCCCCATGCCCTTTTGTCTAGCATTGTGGCTAAAACGTCACAAGGAACAACACATGTGAGCGGGTTTGGTTTGTTTGCCACGCCGAAAAACTCTGATTCAACAGATTTCTATGGAGGAAGACGTTGTAAGGAAATAAGGGCAATTTTTACCCGTTTATTATTTTTTAACTGGGAAAAAGTATAATATAATAATAGTATAAATATTATTTTTTTGAAAATGTAAATGTGAATTGACCTCATTCCGATTTTATTAAAAAGATATCAACCAGCTCATTGATGGCGCAATGTGTCTAATGTTGTGTCACCTATTCTCAGTACTAACTATTGATATCCTGTTCTCTATATGCTCTTTAACAGCAGACCACCCGCTGAAGCAGTTATTGGAAAGTGTTTTTTATTAATTGGTAACGATGAGGGTGGAAGGACCCGATGACAAGTTCATTCAAAATTATGCAAGGTGAGTTGCGTGACAAAG